TGCGTTGGTATCTATCTTAAGCACTATAGGCCACCCCCTCTCCTCAGCTCGCCTGATGCAGATTACATAACTCCCACAATATCATCACCGTACCGGCAGTCATATTTACAGTGTATCTACGCTTAACCAACACTTGGAATGGACCATCATGGACAGCGTAGCATACTGATCTTCTATTGGAAACGGTAATGTCGAATGCGGTAACCTAACGAACAGCAACAACAATATCAGCGCTGTCAACAGCATCGTCAATGTCAACAGCGTCGGAGCCGATGAGAGTCCGGAAATTATGCAGTGGCTCTCGCCGCTGGACCCCGGGGGCGGGCATCACGATGTGCGTACCAACAGAGTTGGTGGTATAGGGAGTTGGCTTTTGGAAACAAGCGAATTTCGGAAGTGGAGGAGCGGGGACGGAGGGGCAGATCAGGCTCTCTTATTTTGCTATGGAGATCCAGGAGCAGGAAAGACATATCTAAGGAAGTGACTAGTTCCTTCGGGAGAAGCAGGAGTTATCGTTGACGACCAGCTATATTAGTTCATTAGTAATCGATAACCTGTGCGATGAAGCTGGCGAGGAAGATAGCGGTATTGCGATCACCATGTTCTACTGCGACTTCCGCGACCAACAGCAGCAGACAGCTACTAATATCATGGGAGCCATTCTAAAGCAGTTAGTGGTTAGGAGGGAAGTTCTGGGGCACATTCAGAAAGCGTTTCAAAGGCGAAAAAAGAGGTTGGCGGTCGGGGACTTGTACTTCCGGATATGGTGCGATTGCTAAAGCGGGTTATTTCCCAACTGCCCCGGGTGTTTATTTGCATAGATGCCCTGGATGAGTACCTCCCTAAGAATCTACTGGAGCTTCTTGAGTCACTTAAGGATATCCTTGAGGTGTCACCGATGACCCGAATATTTGTCACTGAAGGCCTCAGGTTGAAGCCGGAATTAAAAGATTTTTCACACCCGGGGTTGTAGTACCCATCGGTCCTAAGACGCATGATATAAAAAGATATTTGGAGAGGAAGTTGGAGATGGACCCTGATCCTGACGAGATGTCAGATAGTTTACGGGAGGATATCCTCAGAATTATCCCAGAAAAAATCTCGGCAATGTGAGTAGGGGGGTCTACAGTCCCCACGCCGTCTGTAATCTTATATTTACTAACTATGGTCTATAGATTTCTCCTTGTTTCTCTTAACATCGATGCTATTCTAGAAGCGGCCACCATCTCTGAGAGAAGACAAAAATTGATGGAGATGACCATGGGAGATCGTTTGGGGGATGGGTACTTGGCAACCCTGGAACGCATAAAGGCACAAAAGGGAACCAGACCCAAACTCGGAATGGATGCCCTGATGTGGGTATTGAATTCGGAGCGACCACTACGCACTAGCGAGTTATGCCATGCCATAGGAGTAAAGATAGGATCCACGGATCTGAATGGTGAAAATATTCCTACTATTCAAACACTCCTGGTATGTTCTTTGGGACTTATCACTGTTGATGCATCCTCCGACACTGCTCGTCTTGTCCATTTGACTTTGCAAGAGTATTTAAGAAGTAATCCGGGCCTGTTCCAAAGCCCACACTCAAAGATAGCGGAGGTTTGTTTGACATACCTCAATTTTCGGTGTGTTCTGGAAATCCCTCCAACTCTTAATTCGGCTCCTGCTACAGTCCCCCTTGTCGAATATGCTTCTTGGTACTGGAGAAATCATATAAGGCGGGAGATGACGGAGAGTGTGAGCCAGCTTGCACTGTGGCTTCTGATCAGATTTGAACAGCACATATCTTCTCAGATGCTCATGCTACGTTATAATAAGGAAAAAGATTGGTGGGACCCGGGTTTTGATGCCACAAATGGCCCTAAGGGCTATACAGGGCTCCATGGGGCGGCATTTCTTGGGATCGGGGAGATAATTGCCGACTTATTAGCGATGAATGAATGGGACATTAACGCAACAGATGGTCTGGTCATTACGGCACTCGCATGGGCAGTTTTGAGGGGTAATGAGGATGTGGTAAAGATACTATTGCAAAGGAGGGATGTCGACCCTAACGCCACAAACGCGGCATATGGTGGAGCGCCACTCCGTTTAGCCGCAGAGCACGGGCATGAGGGTATAGTAAAGCTGCAACTGGAACGAGACGACACTAATCCCAACACCGCCGACACCGAATATGGCCAAACACTACTCTGGTTGGCAGCTGTGAGCGGGAATGAGGGGGTGGTAAAGTTGCTACTTGAACGAGACGATATCAATTCCAACACGGCGGACATCAAATATGGCGGAACACCACTCTGTTATGCTGCGGGGGGCGGGCATCAGGGTATAGAAAAGCTGCTATTGGAACGAGACGATATCAATCCCAACACCGCCAACACCGAAGATGGCCGAACACCACTCTGGTTGGCTGCGGAGAGCAGGCATGAGAGGGTAGTAAAGTTGCTATTGGAACGAGACAATATCAATCCCAACACCGCCAACACAAAATATGGTCGAACACCACTCTGGTTGGCTGCTGCAGGCCAGCATGAGGGGGTAGTAAAGTTGCTATTGGGACGAGGCGATATCAATCCCGACACCGCCGACACCAAATATGGTCTAACATCACTCTGGTTGGCTGCTGCGGGTGGACATGAGGGGTTAGTAAAACTGCTATTGGAACGTGATGATATCAATCTCAACACCATCGACACTAAATACGGTCGAACCCCACTCTTGCTGGCTGCTGTGGCCGGGCATCAGTGCGTAGTAAAACTGCTATTGGAACGAGACGATATCAGTCCCAACACCGCCGACACCAAATACGGTGGAACTCCACTCCATGATTGCTATATTATACCTATGGGGTATATGTGGGCGGTTCTTTCGCAGAATTGTTTTAGATATTTCCACATAGGTTTGTGGATGGACTTGAATTAAACTTAAGGCTGGGAGTCCTAGGGTGTTCCATGGCTCATATTTTATACTTTACCCTTCCAGTTTCCCCCCTCATCCTTTTGTCTTGCGCCTCTACAGCACCATGTATCCCTTTGCTCAGTGGTTTATTCTGGTTTTTTTTCCGGGTTAATTATCTTTTAGAATCCTGCATCGTGTAAATGTATCATATTAGAGATTTCTGCTTTCTGATAACATGATTTATTGAACGGCTTGATGGAAATTCACCCATCGCGCTCATCTCTCACTCACAACTTTGATGGAAAATATAGCGATGTTTGTGCTTATTTGTAGTCCCCTATCAGTTACCCGTGGTGTACGGCGATACGCTCACTCTGATACCGCTCATACACTTCTACATGTCTCTAACACCCCTCCCGTAAGTTGGCCGTAGTCCCAGCGTGCGTCCCGGAAACGACCAGGTCCGCTCCAATAGTCCTTAGAGAACACCCCTCGGCCCCCTATGGATTACAAAAAATCCTCCTAGCAGAATGGTAGATTAATGGGAGTATTCGTTGTCACGGTGGAGGGTAAAGTGGTTGTTAACCCCCCCTCTGCTTGTTTGTCGATAATGCACAGATAATATACTATGCGGACTTGGCGTGGCCTGATGTTCCCCCAGCACGAAGCTCATAGTTGCTTATGAGCTGCTAGATATACTCCATTATCTTCCCACGTTGTTCTGCTTCTCATTCAGAATTCCATCTTGCACGAATGGAGACTAAGCCACTCCTCCCCTTTTCTTTCCATACACCCCACATTCCAGTAACCCGTGGAGTCCCGAAAGAGCCCAGGAGTAACTTGAACAGCTCTACCGGTGTGTGCTGCACTGTGCTATAGGTTATACCCTACGATCAGACCTTATCCTAAACCACCGAAGCCATTGTAGGCGTTTCCCGGCTTGCTATTCCACTTACGTTCGACGCATTTTTTGTGGCATCGCACTTAAACTATAACTTTCCTTCACTAAACAACCTACGGAAGTATTTATTGTAAGGGCGGGCTCTATATGGCGGCGAGTGTGTGTGCGCATAGCCCCATAGCTCTTGTCGCTCATTTGCCGCTACAGTGTGATAGGAGACCCTTAATATGTGCTGTCACTCATTAGCTGATAGTCATCCATTTCCAGGAAAACTTGGCTATCATAGCGGAAAGAATTTAAACGCCCGCATGGCCCACTAAATGCACATATTGGGTGAGGGGCGACGAATACATATTACGATGTTATAAGATGCAGGTGTGGAACCGCAGTCCCGGGAGGTGGGACTTGCTCTCATGTTAGGGCTCCTTTGTGCCGGGGCTTTTCTGGGGGTTTCCGCTCTCTCTCCCGACTAAGGTGGGAAGAAGTCACTGTAGTATATATTGTTAAAATAATTCCCGTAGACATTCATCTTTCTGGAGTTGAAGAGGCGTTTTATCCGGGAAAGAATAACCTTACCGGGCCTATCATTTGACCAGAATCCTTAAGCGCGTCTATGTCTGGCTCATGACTTTGGTCAGCTGTGGACTGTGCCGAAGCTACTGGGGCTGTGAGATTCTGACAAGACTGTGTACTAGCAAAACAAAAAAGGACGTTTGTTCAAGTATTGGATTCATTTTTGAGGCGAGATTTAACGCCATTCACTACTGTCTAGCTTGGTGTTGCACCGGAATATCATATTGGCTTGTGTGCTAGTTGGTCAACTGATCTTTTGCGTGCTGTGACTGACTGTCAATATTCAATCACCAGGGAAAGTATTGGGTGAGTAAGTGTCGTATTATCCTATCCACTGCCAGAATATTTAACCTGAAATGATTCTTTACACTACGAATCTGTAGGTTTCTTAACCAGCCCATTAGCCTACACGGTAGTAGTCTCCCGCTCATCTGCTGCACCCAAACATATTAGATATGTTCCATCGGAGCCCTCAAATAGCCTGCTTCGTCCGTGGGGTATCTGATTGTGAGCGGTATATCCTAACTGTAAAGTAACTTACCTTCAAACGCACCCAACTTAATGGAGAGCGTTGGAGATATCCGCACTGGGACGCACAAGTACTCGCTAGTGCAATGCGCTGGCATCGGAACCTTTTCTCCATATAACTCTTCTTCCTTTTTTTCCCTTTCTCTTCCTTTCCGTTCTTAGGTTTTCATCGAACCAATCGGGTAAACATATTTACTCACAATATAATCGCTTCTCCTCCTTAGACATCTCCGCTTCACAGTGAAAACCTCCAATCTTACCATTACCTCTATTTTTATCAGGACTACCTTGACTGCTTTCAAGAGTGGCTAAAACGTGAGAAAGCGAGTGATAGGATATGAAGCGGGAGAGTAGTTCAGATAACAAGGGCAAATGAGATCCTAGTTGAAGCACTAGTTTCTACCTATTACCTTTCTGGGAACAATTCTAGCTGTCCTCGATGGGAGAAACTACTTCTATGTATTCCCTTACCCACGTTTTTTGGGAGGAGCAGGAAGTAGGGGCCGGCATGTACCATAGAAGCCGGTACGTTGTAGGTCTCCGGCTGCCACCGGTTGCATTTTCACTGGTGTAGGCGGTTAAGGCAAATTAGGAGATTATGGTTGGAAGGCCGTTGTGGGATTTTACAGTTATAGAGGTTATGGTGCCAAAAAAAAAGGGGGGGGGCTTGTTACACACCTCGTTTGTGGGATTTTACTGTCAGTCTTTGTTTCTTCCAAGGGGGTGGGTATGGAGCATAAACTTCCGCTGCCTCCGGAGAGGGTCCAACATGGATCCGGACGGTTGTCTTCGCCAGATAGCGGTGGTCAAGTGGCTGCTCGCCATGGCTACGTCGAGTGAGGGGGAGGGGTCCAAGACTATCTGCAGGATAATTCATGGCGGTGAGCGACCACCTCAACGGATATACCCCCCACAACATCCTGTCCGCTTCAACTATCAGTATATGGCCCTGACATCCTCACTCAAAAGCGCAAGAGCACATACCGTCCCCGCCGCAATAGCTACCATATACCCAAACCCCTTAGCAAAGGCATAGATATCCGAGTCACTTCTCTACGCTCTTGTGCCTATATCGAATGCAGGATACCCTGTATATGCACCGAAGTCGTGCCCGGCGTTATTGGTGATTAGATATAAGTTTCCACTCCTGGAATGTTTGATGCTACCCTGCACACCATGCAAAGTTTTTGCTTTGGCGGCGAAGATCAGATAGGTCCAGTAGGTTCATCTGTAGAATTCGTCACGGATACGAGACATACCAGCAAATAGCAGTTACATGATTGGCGGGTGCTGTGCATCGCTATCCGTTTTCCAAATTAGCATGGCAGTCCTGGAAAAAGAGAAAGAATATTCGCGAGAAGTAGTACAGATATGACCGGAAATCAGATCAGTTCCACCCCTAACAACATTTTCTCACTCCACCTTGCCGTAGAATTCGCTAGAGTAGCAAACAACCGCTGTGGGAGCGCTATTTTTGGTAAATGGCCCTTGGGAAATCAGGCTGTCTAATACTCGCTACCTGCTGATCCCCAGGTCGGACTTTGCGTTTCCTCGTCGCGGGACATGGGTGAATCCCCCCAACTACCTCCAATGAGCGGGTCGGGAAGTTTTCAGCTGAATTTGACTTCTCTCTGGCCGAGCGTGTTGGTGTCCGTTAAAGTGGTTAGCCCTCCTGCAGACAAGTCTTATCATATGATACAGCACATCAGGTAATTGCCTTGTATACGGTAGTTAACAAACGAGCTGTATAATCAGAAGTAACTCTTCCCGTAACCGAAAGAGGTGGGGGGACATCAAATACCAAGCCATCTGGAGAATAGTGACAAGACCGCATGCATTCCCCAACCGGCCGCGGAACCATGTTTTGGGAGATATTCACCCACTGATCCTGCACGGTACTGCATGTATAACAAATAGCTGTCAGTTCATATCCTCACCAATTACGTGGACTGACCTCGTACCACACAACAATGTGAGCCATTATGGTATTGCGTAGTCTTTGGTAATTAACGTTTTGGTAGGTGAGGCGGGCTTGCAGAGGAAGGACCACTCCCACTTGCATGGTTTTGAGTGCCGCAAATATAGACTTTATGGAACATGTCACCGTTAGTGATTGACGGACATTAGCTGTAGTCTGCTTTTAATAAATTACTCTAGGGTACTTCAACAATACAGGCGCTAATTGGTACTGAACCGTTGCGATAATGCGTGTAATACGGTCCCATGGCTGGGAGGTTCGAAGTCCCTAGCCGCGAACATACTATATTAAGCGATATGGTCCTACTTTTTTAACTGTGCACTCAATTTTCCAGTAGGTGGCACGTACGGTGGAAGGAAAACCATATGCGCACGCGCTTTGTATCTTCATCGCGCTCCAAAGTCAGCGCTTCGCAGACAATACAACCGGCGGCTGATGGTACAGGCTTGCTGGAGTCGTGTGGTAGTTCTTTGATAGGGTACTATAGTCATGAAATACTGATTGGAGGGGCGTTTTTTAAGCTGTTGAGCGAGGAGACATAGTGCGTTAATGGATGAGTAAGGCTTTGGGGGTAGACAATGCAAGGGGTATAGTGCTAGACTCGGTATCTGCTGGCTGAATTCTGAAGTATTGCTTGAGGGAACTAATTATGGATACTTATTGGCGGGGATAATTTTGTTGCTAGTGTGCGGCGTTCCTCACTGCACCTCGGCAGACCTGAACCTTCGGCATCTGACAACCGAACACGATAACCTGTGAAGCCGAACATAACCTCCGAAGAACATTCACTACCTGTCGCCATAGACCGAGGATAGAAACGAGAAAGGGGAGATCGGGAAAGTGCGGGATATCTTTCATTACTACTTTTGCTGCTCGTTGAGAAGGATCATATTCTTGTATAAATACCTGCTCATTTCCTATGTTTAGTATGTAGAAGTATCAAAAGCAATTCAGAGAATTTCCCCACGCACATATTAGCCCAACTTTAGTCTTTTTCCCCGCTCTTATTTCTCAAATTTGTGGGAGTAGGCAGGTTTGTAGAATGTATATAGGGTTTGCCGTCGTGCTTGAAAGTGGACACAAGAGTGAAAAACTATGGGGTAGGCAAGGATCTGGATGCAGGGATGTCGGGATCATGAACAGTCACTCATTGTCTTGGCTCTGCGTTGGTGCGTTGGCCTTGCCCTATCTTTAGCACTATGCCACACCCCCCTCAGCTCACCTGGTGAAAATTCCCTGACTCCCACCATATCACTACCATACCAGCAGTTATCGCTACAGCATATCTACATTCGGCAAACACTTTGGAAAGACCATCATGGACAGCGTACGATACAAATCTTCGATTGGAAACGGTAATGTCGAATGCGGTAAGGTAACGAACAGCAACAACAAGATCGGCACTATCAACAACACCATTAGTGTGAACAATGTCATAGACGATGAGAATTTAGAGATTATGCAGTGGCTCTCGCCACTGGACCCTAGAGGAAGACATCACGACGTGCGCACCAACAGAGTCGGTGGTGTTGGGAGTTGGCTTGTGGAAACAAGCGAGTTTTGGAGATGGAAAAGTGGAGAAGGAGGGACTGACGAGGTTCTCTTATTTTGCTATGGGGATCCGGGAGTGGGAAAGACATATCTAAGGCGAATGACCAGCCCTTCGGGAGAAGCAAGAATTATCGTTGACGACCAGCTATATTAGTTCGTTGGTAATCGATAACCTGTGCGATGAAGCTGGCGAGGAAGATACTGGAATTTCGATCGCCATGTTCTACTGCGACTTCCGCGACCACCAGCAGCAGACGGCTGCAAATATTGTCGGAGCTATTATAAAGCAGTTGGTGGCGAGGGGGGTAGTGCTGGGACACGTTCGGACAGTGTTTCAAAAGGCGAGAAAAGAGGTTGGCGGTCGAGGTCTTGTACTTCCAGATATGGTGCGATTGCTGAAGAGGGTTATTGCAGAGCTGCCCAGGGTTTTTATTTGCATCGACGCCCTGGATGAGTGCCTCCCTAAGAATCTACTGGAGCTTCTTGAGTCACTTAAGGATATCCTTGAGGTGTCACCGATGACCCGGATATTTGTCATCGGGAGGCCGCAAGTGGAAGCCGGAATTAAAAGATTTTTCACCACCGGGGTTATAGTACCCATCAGTCCTAAGACGCATGATATAAAAAGATATTTGGAGAGGAAGTTGGATATGGGCCCTGATCCTGACGAGATGTCAGATAGTTTACGGGAGGATATCCTCAGAATTATCCCAGAAAGAATCTCCGGAATGTGAGTAGGGGGGTGTATAGTCCCGCTCCGTCTGTGATTATATATAGACCACTGATGGTCTATAGATTCCTCCTTGTTTCTCTGAACATCGATGCTATCCTGGAAGCAGCTACCATCTCTGAGAGAAGACAGAAGTTGATGGAGATGACCAGGGAAATCGTTTGGGGGATGGGTACTCGACAACCCTAGAACGCATAAAGGCACAGAAGGGAACCAGACCCAAACTCGGAATGGATGCCCTTATGTGGATATTGAATTCGGAGCGACCACTACGCACTAGCGAGTTATGCTATGCCTTAGGAGTAAAGATAGGATCCACAAATCTGGATACTGAAAATATTCCTACAATTCGAACCCTCCTAACATGTTCTTTGGGGCTCATCACTGTTGATGCATCCTCCGACACTGTTCGTCTTGTCCATTTGACTTTGCAAGAATATTTGTCTAGTAATCCAAACCTGTTCCAATGCCCACATTCGATGATAGCGGAGGTTTGCTTGACGTACCTCAATTTTGGGTGTGTTCGGGAAATTTCCCCAACTCTTACTTCGGCTACTGCTACAGCCCCCCTTGTCGAATATGCTTCTTGGTGCTGGGGAAATCATGTAAGACGGGAGATGACGGAGAGTGTGAGACGGCTTGCACTGCGGCTTCTGATAAGATTCGAATAGCATATATCTTCTCGGCTGCTCTTGTAGCATTATAACATGGAAGGAGGTTGGCGGGACGGGTATTTTGATATCGGAGATGGCCCTAAGGGCTTTACGGGGCTCCACGGAGCAGCATTTCTTGGGATCGGGGAGATATTTGCTGGTTTACTGGCGATGAAAGAATGGGATATCAACTCAACGGATGGTCTGGGCAGAACGGCGCTCGCATGGGCAGCAGTGGGGGGTCATGAAGATATTATGAAGATACTATTGCAAAGGAGGGATGTCGGCCCTAACGGCACAAACAGCGTAGATGGTAAAACACCACTCTGGTGGGCTGCGATATGGGGGCATGAGGGGGTAGTAAAGTTGCTATTGGGACGGGGCGATATTAATCCCGACACCGCCGACACCAAATATGGTCTAACATCACTCTGGTTGGCTGCTGCGGGTGGACACGAGGGGTTAGTAAAACTGCTATTGGAACGTGATGATATCAATCCCAACACTCCCGACACTAAATACGGTCGAACCCCACTCTCGCTGGCTGCTGCGGCCGGGTATCAGTGCGTAGTAAAACTGCTATTGGAACGAGACGATATCAATCCCAACACCGCCGACACCGAATATGGTCAAACACCACTCTGGCGGGCAGCGGAGCGCGGGAATAAGGGGATAGTAAAGTTGCTACTGAAACGAGACGATATCAACCCCAATACCGACAATAACTATGGTCAAACGCCCCTCTGGTGGGCTGCGAGGTGCGGGCACGAGCGAGTAGCAAAGTTGTTATTGGAACGAGACGATATCAATCCCAACACCTCAGACGCCAACTTTTTCCGAACGCCACTCTCGTGGGCTGCGGAGAGAGGGAATGAGCGAATAGTGGAGTTGCTTCCAGAACGAGATGATATCAATCCCGACATCCCTGACCTTAACGGGAAAAGGCCCCTTGAATTTGCTGTGTT